ATTACCCAGCCGTGAGATCCACAGGAGCTATTTAACTCCTCTCATGCCACTTCCTCGTCTGTATAATGGGGTTAGTAATGGCATGTACTTCATAGTGTTGAGATGATGACATTAATTAGTGCATGCAAAACACTTAGAGCATCTTAGGCACCCCACAACTTTGTTGGTAAGCTGTCCTTATGATGTTTTGAAGAATTTACATTCAATTGGTAAAACAATCACACTAATACTAACAAGTTATCTCACTTAAGCAAATGAACAATAGAACAGCTGTCCAAAGTCATCCCAACCACCACCTTTTAATAGAAAGTGGAACCATGGAGTGGCCCATAGTAAAATGGAGCATAGGTCCAACTATTCCAGAATGCATGGAATTCAATTAGAAAGGCCTATGTCTATAATAACTAGCCCTCATATGTCCTGTCAATCAACAGTAAGAAGATGTCCCTTGGTCAGAGAAAAGAGGGAGAGAAGCATGTAGTCAACCCTGTACTTACAAGATCAGAGTTGTAAAAGTGGGAAACAGAAGGGCAGTTCATATGAGTGAACTCTTCCCCTAGCACAGTACCTAGTGTCCTTGTTCTTCATGGTCTCGGTGTTCCCCAAAACCAGGTTATATGGTTAGAGGGCAATCAGTAGGAAGAATTCTGCAAAAACTTCAGAGTTAACAATGGACAACTAACCTATAACTAAAATCATTACCTGTGTGCAAAAGTCACAGTGCCTCTTAAAGCAAAAAATAGAAAGAGCGGGGCAATTATAACTTGACATTGTTCTAAGTACTTTGCATGTATTTTCTCACTAAATTCTCATGATTGCCCTGCAATGCTATCAGTATTTGCACTACTAACAGCTGAATCAGGACTTAGAGAAGTCAACTTCTCAATGTCTTGTAACTAGGGCATTGTAAAACCAAGATTTAAACAAATTCACATCTTCTAATACTCCATATGTCCAGTTGTGGGAATAGATGAAGTCCTGGGTGAATGTGTATTGTTGACACAGCCATGTCAAGGACCCCAGTGTCTCAGACCCATGGGAATGACAAGTCCTTGGTCCAGAAAAGAATGTTCACAGTTTGTGCAAAAAGTATCAACTAGCTTCCTCCTCCTTGATGCTCCCCTACAAAGATCCCACCCCACCCTATGGAGATTAGCTGACCCTCCTCCCGTTCAGCTGTATATATCAAATGTGCTCAGTGTGCACCTTCATCAGAGCGAGCAACCCACCTGATCCCAGCCTTCCATATGTGTGTCTTTCTTCATTCCCCCCTTGTCCTAGTCAGGTCAATCCCAAAGTGTGGAGGTCACAGCATCAAATGATTATTCAAGCTACTGTAATATTTGTCAATTAATCAAAGGCAGGAAGCTTCCAGAAATTTTTTCCATTAAAATCTAAGAAAGTGAGCCATCCACACGTGTCAGCATGTGGTTCATTCCAGGAAGGAATAAGGCAGAACAAAGAACACTGAAACTTAAGAGTTGAGGCAGCACTTTAGACCTCGTGCCTTAAGATCTGGGATCTCTCTTATGGCTCCATCCTTGCCAATTAATTAATGAATCTATTCTCAGTTGTGATAAAAAAAAAAAGGTGCTCCGAACTTCAGGTGAGAACTATTAGGCTCAGATACTTTGCCTCCAGGTGGTATTGATCTGGCATTCTGGCTTACGTGACATTCAAAAGGCATTATTGTGAGTTGGCTTCTGGGGATGCCTTTGGTTCTTGGACGCTAAATACAGATAGTACGCTGAACTCACCAGCCTGAGAGCAGATACAGGCTACTGTAAACCAAACAAAGGGCTATGCCCTGGAGACCAGAAGCCTGCACTAGACAGCATCCATCCCACCTCGTTCCCAATGTAGAAGTCGGGTTGTTGGACTTAGGCAGTTTATTGCTTGAATACTGGCTCTCTCCTCTCCTAGCTACAAAACTGAGAGCTCTTCATTGGAAAAACAAGAAGAAAAGAGAAGATTCATCTCCAAGCTGCTTCATGACAAGTGCAGGGTTAAAAGAGTAGCTTCCAGACATCCATGTTTCCAACACACAACTTGTGGTTTCACCAGCGAAGTGGCTTTTCAGATCTGTAGAGGACTTGCCGGTTCAGTCTTATATCACAATTAACAGGACACGGAGTAATAGGATGGACAGGCCCAGGATCTCTTTAAGAAAGATACAAATTGGATGACAGGGACAGGTGACAGCAATGAGGAAAAGCAAAATTGCATGCCCTATGGCCACTGAGTAAGGAAAGCTGAGAAGTCATCTGGGGCTCACCCAGTCAGGACAGCAGCTCTAGGTCACAGACACGATGGCCATTGTTCCAATTACAGCACCATCTCTTCATATTAATGTTAAGCCTGTGTAGTAAACAGCAATTAGTGATGAAGAAACGCAGGGCCCAGATGGCCGTGTCTGAGAGGAAGGTCCATAAAGGATTTTGAGAGCTGTGAACCAAGGATGAGATTGGGAGGGAATGGGCTTTAGTTATAACGAAAAGATAACATATTCACTCAAGTCCTAATTGCGGTGCCTGGGCTGTCCAGGATATTCAGAAACAGCCACGACTCTGTGTGATTCCAACCTTTCCTATAAGGATAAATTAAATGTAAATAGAAATTCCACATTTGTGTGATGTCTTATAGAAGTGCATGTTCTAATTTTTTTAAATGCCTATAATTTGGGTAACCTCAGGATTTGCAAAGTAAAGCCGCTATGAGCATCTATGCTATTACATCAATAAAGATTCATACTAGACACATGTATTGAAACTTTTATTTTAATAAAACAGAAAATTCTAAACACTTTAGTTGACTTCTCAAAAAAATAATTACTGGAGTTCGTTTTATATGCATGTAGACACATGTGCACACACACACGCACACGCGCACAAGTTACCATGGACTTAGTGATTCAAACCCACACTGACTTTTTATCTTACAGCTGTCTGTTTTGAGCCCAGCATGGGCCTCCAGGCTCTAAGACCAAGAAATCAGCAGAGCTAGGTTCCATCTTGAAGGACCCCAATGAGAACTGGGTCCTTTACCTTTTCCACCTCCTAGGTGCTGGGAGCTGTCCTTGGCTTGTGATCTCCTTCTGCTGTCAAGGTGGGAGAGCGCATCACTCTGAACACCACCTTCCTCTCTTCTCCTTCTCCAACATGGAGTGGCGATTCTTTCTCCCTTTGGCATTAGAGATGACATGGGACCTTCCTAGATGACTGAAGACGATCTCCTGACTCTGAGGCCGGTTGATTAAGAACTTGAATTCTAGCTACAACTCCGATTACCCTTTGCCAAGTAACACAGCCTGTTGGCAGGATCTGGGTGCTAGGATGTGGACATCTGGGAGTGGGTCATATTCTGCCTATTGCACTTACACTTGCTAATCATAACCCAAATGAGGGGAAGGGGAGGAGGAAAAGAGTAGATGAAAGGAGGGGAGAAGCACAGAGAGGGGAGGGTTAGGAAGGGAAGGGATGGGAAAAGAAGGGAAGGGAACAGAATGGAATGGAATGGAATGGAATGGAATGGAATGGAATGGAATGGAAAGGAAGGGAAGGGGAACTGAGACCCCATTGTTATCTCTCAAAACCAACACCTAAACTGGATACTATATATACAGTGATGGAGATATGTGTGTTTAAATCCTCTGACCAATCAAGTTTCCATGCAGTCCTTCAAGCCTCAGGGAACACAGCCAATACAAGGATAAAACATGTTTAAGGACGTATTGTAACTAATAGTTTGCAGGCGTAAACATATTCCATAACCTTCAGAGGGCACCTTGTTATGGCAACAACAATAACAATTAACATTTATGGAGCCTTTATGGTGTGTCAAAAGGTTAAGTGCTCTCTGCGTGTTTTTTCCAACAACTACTCATTTTACAGACAAAGAGCAGGAGGCAACAGAGGCTCATAACTCCTGGGAGTCGTTGGGACAGTGGTGGAGCTAAGATTCAACCCTAGGACTCTGTGAGTCCAGGCTGTGCACTTCCAAGCACTGTGCAAAAACGGACTCTTCCTTTTAGGTGACAATATATATTTCAAAATAATTGATTCTCTAATAGACTTTGTAATCTTGGGGCAAAAGCAAAGGTCTGAATTGCTGATCTGAGTCTCTCTTGTGATTACTTTTGGCTTTTATCCCCCACCTCTCATAATTCTGGGGAAGAAAGGAAAGAAAAGGTCAAGACCATTTAGGGATGACAAAGACGGGAGACTATAGGGAAAGTAATGATCTAACAAAAACATGTCGGAATGGCTGTCACTTGCTCAAAAGATGTATGGAAGACCCAAGTTCCCAAGGAAAGGCTGTAAGACAGGTTTATTATGCGCCACCCTATCCTAATCCCTAGTTGCTGTAATACAAGATAACACACGGAATGTTCTGGCAAGCTGAATTTTATTTTAATGTCTTCTTTGTCGTAGCAGGAACGTGGTTGAGGTTAAGGATTCCAGTCTATCATCTCTGCCGATTTCACTAAATCATTCTTCTGCCAAAGGTCACAGGTCAGTCACCAAGTGCCCTTCTTACTGTCCCCTCATGCTTCTTCCTGCTCTCGGTCCCTTTCCACATGGTACAGGAGCTAGCCATGTGACCACGGCTCAGCACTGCTTCCTGAGAGCTTTCTATGATTTCCCATGACTCTGACACTGAAGAACAAAACACACCACAGAGCCGGAAGAGCCTGGAATCACCCCTCATAGGTGTCTGTTGTTCTTTAGTTACTTCCTATGAATACAGGAGCCGCAGTAGGCAGTATGCCAAAACAGCATCTTGAGGCATCCCTGGTTTCATCCAGCTCTGCTTTCTTCTCTGTTCTCTCTGCTCCAGTAACTCAGCACAGGTGTCTGGGTGACATTTGTGGAAGGAAGGAAGGAAGGAAGGAAGGAAGGAAGGAAGGAATGAAGTAATGAAGCCCCCCCCCCTTTTTTAGAAGCAAAGTTTTACAGAGTCAACCAGATAAATGTCTGCATTTCAGGTCCCAGGGTATCAAGCAGGGATGGATTCTGGTACAAAGAGTAAAGCAGGAACTCTCTCCAGGTCCCGCTGGCGCTGATACAACAAGAACCTCTGGGCTAAAGGTAAAACCTACAAGAACAAGAGTTTAGGCAGATTTCACGAGGTAATGCCTCAGCCAACCAACACCGGGGATACTCAGGACGTCACATGAGGGTGTGGCAACAGAAAAGGAAAGTAATACCCAGGGAGCGTCGATGCTAACGTGCTGGCTAGCTCAGGGATTATTCCTGACAGCAGCCTTTGTAGACGAGATTTGTGTAATTAGCTGCCATGCCTGCTGGATTAAGGAGAAAAGAGAGGATTGAAACCACTCTGGTCTTGCGATGGCACACCCCACCCACCGGTGGGCATCTGCCGGTCTTACTTCACCTGCAATGAACACAATCACCTCAGCAGGCCTGGCGCCATGTCAAAGTGGCGCAAAGGGACTCTGCGTTTCTAAAGCCAGGCTTATGGCATAGCGTCTGGACACTCCTCTCCAAAAACTTACACGGCTGCAACTTCTGCTGTCTTCTCTGAAAGGTCCAGTGTCAGCAGGATGGTATAGACCTTCTTTTATGGGGTGAAAAGGACAAAGGACGCACAGTAACATCTGATAGGTCAGACCACTCCTCCTGGGCGTAGACCCAGGTATAGAGTGACAGATATATTGCCCAGAAGACGGTGACAAAGTCACCATAAGGTGAAAAGACCTTGGCAGCCAGGAAGAGGGCGGCTTTCTGTGTAAGTGATGACACTAAATTTCTGTGTCTCCATGAAAACTGGCAAATTCTAAACTAGATGCATAAAGGGGTAAGGCGGCTCTGAGCGCCCAGGACCAGACCCTTATATGACAGGTCAGATAGTTGGGGAAATGAAGACTCCAATTTTGACTTAAACGCAGGAGCCCTTGCCCGTCTACGAACCTGTCTCACCAGTGGTCTTTCCTCTCCTTTCATTACCATTCATTTGGCTAACATAAGTTGGAGAACATAAAACATGAACATGTGGTCCAGCAGTATATGCCTATAAAACATGAGATTCCTAAAAATGCTTAGTATTCAGTTGGTAACTAAAGGACAACGTCAGGGAGAGAACCCGAAAAGCTTTGCGTGGATGGATTCTAACTTCTCCGTGGCATCTTTTCCTTTTGGAGAGTCAAAGTCACGGTGGACCATGCTGTGATCCCAGCCCCTGGGAGGCTGTGGAAGGAGGACCTCTGCGTTCGAGGACAGCCTGGGTTACACAGTTAGATCCTGGTTAATAAATAAAGACAAAAGGCAGATGTCAGTGAACACTCCAGCTCCTCCAAGGTAAAGTCGGGGAGGAGAATAAGAACAAGGGAAGAAAAAATTACATACAGTTTCACCTGTATCATATGAAAGTGACATGGGTGTTTTGTTCCCCTGTGAACAACAGGAAATACACGACACTCTCAGTGAGGTATGCTCGCCAGAAAAGCCAAACCTAAATCTACTAAGACTACTCGACCTATTTGCCAGCTTACAGAATCACAAGGGTCTGATGATTGTGCTTTTTTAAACTAATCCAAAATTTGGAGAGATTCCGCCGAATTTGCGTTTCCAGCTATTCTTTCCGGACACTAAAGAGAGCTTCCCACTCCTTCCCAAGTGGATCTCAGTCTCGGACCAACTGTCAGCAGGTCATAGGGCAGCGTGTTCCCTTGTAACCGTGCCTGCCCACAATCGGCCTCCTTTTCTGCTCGTTTCATCGCACAAAGACTTCTCTACACTCTCTAGCACCGCTTGAGCTCCTTCTCAGCGCCAGCCTCAGCAATCCTTCCTGCCACAGGCTGGAGATATTGGGGAATTAAAGATGAGTCAGACAGTGCCTTGCTAAGTGGTGGGATAAGTAGGCAGCGGTTTGCCGTGTGGCATGTGCGGCAGACATGCCTTTCAGTCATGTTTTCATGTGTCCAGATTGCCTAGAACACAATGCTTCTGATCTGGATGTTGCACGTACCATCCCAGTGCATAAAGGTTTACGTTCTCTTCCTGGATTCTGGTGTCTTTACCTCTCCCAGATTCTTGTCGTTCCTCGTAAGAGCCCAGATGCTATTTGTTGGTGGTTACTTGTAAGGCCCTGCCCACTCCGTAATCTATGAGTATCAATATCCTATAAGTAAGTTTCAAGTTATTTCTTGCTTTTGAAGATAAAATTGAGGGGCTAGGGGGATGATTCACTGGGTGAAGCCCTTTCCACACAAGCACGAGGACCTAAGTTCAATCCCCAGCACCCATGTAAATGGCAAGAGGGCGTGACAAACCTGACTGTGATCCCAGCACTCAAAAGGCAAAGACAGGAGTTCTCTGGGGCAAGCTGGCTAGGTAGAGAAGCCACATCAGAGATCTGGGGATTAATTGAAAATTCTGCCTCAATATATAAGAGGGAAAATGGTCAGAAAAGTCTGGTCTTCATATGCACACACATGCAAACACACATATATAGACGCATACATACATAAAAATCAAAGTAAGGCTAGTTCCCAGCACTGACAGTTCTTGCCGCTTTATAAAACTTCCTTCTGTGCTCTTAAAACCCTTTTGCTCATGCACGGTTGGGGATTTTTTCTTTTGTTTTGTTTGTTTGTTCTCGTCCACTTACCACTACGCACCGAAACAATTCGGAAGCAACTCTGAGCCAACGCTGTCCGCCCGAGTCTGACATAGCATCCTGAATGCTTCACTGCTCCTATTGTCTCCTTCTACTAGACAAACAGAAGTCGATGGGGATCAGTTTCACTTGGCCCTAGTCTAAGAATTGCAATGTCTAGTCTGTTATCACCATCACCATGGTTACTATGCTTACCTGTACCTTTTTTTTTTTTAATGTAGCCCTTTCAAGCATAGGATAATGGCATAGGAATTTTGTCTGGAGTTCTATTGCCATTTGTCCTGAAATATCACACACAGTAAAAAATATGTTTGATGATTATTGTGGCCATTCTGCCACTACAAGGAGAAGAGTGTCCTGAAATGCTTCGTTGATAGAATGATTGTCTCTAAGAGGCACAGACAAACTGTGCTCCTGGTCAGCTCCCTGCTGGCTTCTGAGATGCCCATATGCAACCTCTCCCATTCCCTCACCACCCAGCCTCTCCAACAAAACACTCTGTGCCTCTACATGACGGTGTCTTAGTCCATCAGAAAGACAAAACAAAGTCACACCGAGGTGATAAAGTCACGAACAACTAGAACTACACAGAAGACTTGAAGTCATATTGCAGGTGCAGGTTTGTCCCCTGAACAAAATGACAAAAATACTGGGCATCTGCTGGAAAGGCAGGAAGAAGTCCATTCTGGATTATTTATTATATGTCATTTTCCCAAAATTATTCTAGTCATCCATGTCTTCCAAATGACACAGCTAGAGGGTGAGTGTTGGTCAGGATTTACCAAGGGTTGCCTCTGTGGAGTGAAATTAGAGTGTTTCTAATCTGAAAGGGGTTGGTCAGGATTTACCAAGGGTTGCCTCTGTGGAGTGAAATTAGAGTGTTTCTAATCTGAAAGGGGTTGGTCAGGATTTACCAAGGGTTGCCTCTGTGGAGTGAAATTAGAGTGTTTCTAATCTGAAAGGGGTTGGTCAGGATTTACCAAGGGTTGCCTCTGTGGAGTGAAATTAGAGTGTTTCTAATCTGAAAGGGGTTGGTCAGGATTTACCAAGGGTTGCCTCTGTGGAGTGAAATTAGAGTGTTTCTAGTCTGAAAGGGGTTGGTCAGGATTTACCAAGGGTTGCCTCTGTGGAGTGAAATTAGAGTGTTTCTAATCTGAAAGGGGTTGGTCAGGATTTACCAAGGGTTGCCTCTGTGGAGTGAAATTAGAGTGTTTCTAGTCTGAAAGGGGTTGGTCAGGATTTACCAAGGGTTGCCTCTGTGGAGTGAAATTAGAGTGTTTCTAATCTGAAAGGGGTTGGTCAGGATTTACCAAGGGTTGCCTCTGTGGAGTGAAATTAGAGTGTTTCTAATCTGAAAGGGGTGGGTCAGGATTTACCAAGGGTTGCCTCTGTGGAGTGAAATTAGAGTGTTTCTAATCTTCTGTCTTGTACTTTCATATACTAACTGAATTTTTGTAATGGGCACATAGCATTTTTACACACCCAACACCAAAGCCATCGTTTCTTTTCAAACCCAATAGGTTCGCTGTGGAAGTTATAAGGAAATTTGCTGCATGGTAAATGACAAACGACTGCCTGCCTCTCCTCAGCCCTTTCAGATTACACCATTATGTTTCCCCACCCTGTTCTGGCTACGCAATACAAAAAAAAAATTTTTTTTGTTTTGTTCAAGGTTAATTCTTATAAATCAAAACCCACACATACCGATGTAAAATGAGACAGGAGCCAGATATATGGGTTAGTAAGTCATGACTTCTCAGACACGCCTGGAACTATTGAGGATGGGATCAATTCCACGCAGATTCTTGTGAAAGAATTTCGGGGCGCAGCCTGGACCTTGTACTCACTGGAGGCAGGGTTGTTCTCTTTTTTTTCTCCTTCCTGAGGCTGGTTTCACATCAACAGAACCCATACGTAACCACAAACCTGAGTCAAAGCCAGTGATCAAGAACTTTCTGTGTCCACCAGAGCACACAATCTCTGGAGTTCACGACCGAGTACGTCGCCAAACCGACATGTGGAAAGAAAGATCCCCTTTGGCTCATGGTATCAGACAGTCCAGTCCATCAAGGTGAGAAAGGTGTAATAGGGTTCATCGTGTTGGGAGCTTATGGCACAGACTCCGTGGTAGATCAAGAAGTGGAGAAGGAGCGGCCAAACTGAGGGCGAGGTTACCTCTCAAATGCTTTCTCACAGCAATGGCCTTCCACCAGCTTTTCCCCTCCTCCTGAAGGTCTCCCAGCCATCCAGAGCAGAACCCCCAGTTGGGAATAGTCAGACCTTGAGCCTTCCAGGGACCTTTCAAGTTCAAACAAAACCACTTCCTCTATTTTAATTGTCTCTCTGTATCTCTCTTAGTCTTTTTTCTGTTGGTATAACAGAATAGCTGAGAGGGTCATTTCTTACAATTCTCAAGGCCGTGAAGTTCAAGGCTGAGAGTCCACATTTGGTGAGGGTCTCTTTGCCTGCAAAGCCCTGATGCAGAATAGGTTATCGTGTGATGAGGGGAACCAGAGACCGAGACAGCAGAGGCAGACTGCATTTTACAACAAATTCACTCTTAAGAGAACCTGCTAACCAACCAACCCATTAATATGTAGAGATTAATCCATCCATGAAGGCAGAGTGGTCACTATCTAACCATCTCTGAGATGGCTTGCCTGGTCCCGCCTCCCCCTACTTCACAGTACAGATCAAATTCCAGTGTGTGTTTTGAAGGGGACATTGGAAGCAAAAGCATTGCCTTAGTTCTTTCTTCTCATTAGAGACCTACGTGGTCCCAAGATCTCCTTCTAGGAACCATCGAGCTTTCTTTAGTCACAATTGCAGCTTTCCAGTATTTCCATGGTCAAATAAGGAAAATGCATTGAACATTCTTGGCTCGGTTTTTGATGCAGGTCAGAAGGAGCAGAGCTGATGTGTTTCAATGGTTTTATTTATAATTGAAACTCAGATACTCAGGTTCTGTGGCTTAACACCAAAGGGATGGGAGATAATGGCATGGGAGGGCCTGAGCTAAAATTCTTACTCTAGAAAACCTCAGGACTGAATTTATGAAAAGGCACCATTTACGAAACCCTTCAGTGTTTCAGTGCTCCAAACAGGCTGTGGTACTTAGAAGGTGGAAGACCTAACCCTGCTTTCCAGAAGACTGCAGTCTCAGAGACATGTAGCCAGTGTGTTAGGCAGTGAAGTCAGTAGTGAGAGGGCTGGGACTGGTGTGGCTGGCGCAGTGTTTGTCTACTGTCTAAGAAGCTCTGAGAGTGATTCCCAGTACCATCCATATAAAAAGAGTAGCAGGGCCCATGACTATAACGGCAGCACTCAGGAGGTGGAAACAGGAGACTCGGAAGTACAAGTTCAAGGTTCTCCTCAGCTACATAGAAAATTTAAGGTCAGCTTTAGCTACATGAGACCCTGCTTCAAGTTCGGAAAGAGTTAAGAATGAACTTCACTAACCACAGGAAACAGCTGAATCCTGTGGGTGCTCCCAACATCCGCAGAAGAGAAGGGATACCGAGTGGCCCATTCTCCTGGAAGACCTTGGATCTAGAGGAGGTCATTCCCTCCCAGAAGAGCATCACATTCATTCCAGAGAATTCAGAAAATGATGAAGGAAGGAAATAACCCTTGAACCCACC